GGCCAGCTGGTGTCTGAGTTATTGCAGGGCAAGGAGAAGGTGGGCAGTGGCAGACAATACGATTGCATAAGCCTTCTCTCCTTAGGAAAGCCATCTAGCAGCATGCATTATTCACAGGGTCATTGCTGCAAGCCAGAGAGCTAATAAAAATTACAAGACAGGATCAGGATGTTTGTTTTCCTTATGGCAGAACTGAAAGCCAGGGGACATCTCTCCTCTGCTTTGTCAACCTCAGAAGTTCAGAGAGCACTTCACAGGGTGTTTCACTTCCCACCAAGAGGAGAGGGAACCCACATTTTACTCATATACAGACCACAGCAATGACACAGTGAATCTGGAAAAGCCACACTGTAGCCTCTGTAACATGCAGCTGGCTAAGAATAAAACTGAAGATGAGGTATTGTAGAACCCAAGCACAGGCATCATTTGGCCACGGACATGATTTAGCCAGTACCAGTATGGCTAGATCTAGTCACGACCAGGACCATTTAATAACAGCATATTTTTCTTATCATCAGTAGTATTTACATAACTAGGGATTTAAGGAATATTCAGTAAAATTCCTAATATAATGCAACAAAATGGAGTCGGTCCCTAGTGAAAAGGAAATTTGCTGAGCATCACAGAAGCTTCTGAGAGGTGTTAACTTCAGAGGTTTCTAAGCCAGGTCTTTTTGAATGACTGATACTCAGGTGGAAAATAGTGGAGATTTTAAGGAGACAAAGCAAAGTCTAAAAGATTAATGAGCATGTTATCTAACAAGCACTTTGAATGTAGTATTAGGAGACTCCCTGGGACAGACTTGTGTCTTGCTGAAGCTAAGGACAGTTATGCTAGCAGTCAACTGTTGCCTTGTACAGTTTGGTCTCAGGCGAGTTATTGTCCTAATAGTTTTGGCCTAACATCATCTTCCTTAATTAGGTGGGTTTTTTTCCACGACATGTCTGTCATTACAAAGAGGACATCTCATGCCATGCTTTCTGATCTGTTTTAGGCAGGCTTCTTCTGTCTCTCTGCCTATCTCCAGGGCCACCCAGGGTTGCCTTCTCCCCACTTCCCCCCCCTGCCCAAGCTTTGCTTCCCTTCCCCTGTCAGCTCCAAGCACACAGTCTGTCTTCTCTCACCCCTAGCCCCCAGCACAGCCAGTGCACCTCTCCCACTACCCACAGCTGGGCACCGAGGGGGCTGAGCTGCCTCTTGTCTCCAGGAAGGCTGTACACAGTCATTTCATATATTCCTGGCCAAAAAGAGAAACGTGGCTAATTAAAACAACATCACTGCACAAAGGACATGTTCACATGCGTAGGAGGTTTCTAAATGCAGAAAGACGCATTACTCTGGCCTCAGGGAAATGGAGGTAGGGCTTTGTTGATTAAATATTATAGGGAGGGAGGAAAGAATAGAAGAGGCTACGTGTAGCTGAGTTGGAAGGACAGCTCAGCACAGCAGAAGGCAGAAGGCTCAGTTCTTTAAACAGCTTCTTGAAATCTATTACCAAACATAGGGAATAAAAAATTCACCACAAGTGCTTTCCAACTTTCCCCTTCACCATCAGGTAACAGCAAGAGGATGGTTAAAGACCATCCCAGACAGCTTCCTGGAACTTACACAAACTCTCTGAATGCTCTAATGAATCAAAGTGACTCGGCTGCATAATCCCTCATGACTGGTAATAAATCTGTCTGCTAAGCAGGTTTATTTATTTTGAAAGTGATCCCAGGCAGCAGAATATCCTCCACACTGCTTCAAGTCTTCCAACTCTGCTCACATGTGGGGTTGGGGTGCTAGGGAAGCTCTCAGGAGGAGCCCCATGGGAAAAGTGCCCACTCCATGCGGTGGTCGTGGTGTATCTGAGGCATCTCCTTGTTGTATGAGTGTGACAACACTTACTGTGCTAACAAAAGGAGGTAGGGTAACATCTCTCCACTTGTCTCAGCAATTGATTAGGAAGCAACTATTAACTCCTAGCTACAACTACTGTCCCCTGCCTAGATCCTTGGTTACTGAATCCTATGGCCCCCTACAGTCTCACAGGGGCCAGAGTGATGGGAGAGGATAGACACAGGGAAGAATAACAGGGATCTGACTTGGAGCCAGCTTCATTTGCAGACCAGAAGCAGCTTTGTGTATGTAAGTCTGAAGATGGTGCTGGTATGGCAAAACTACATTGACTTATTGCTCTAACTTAATATCAACCAGAACCAAAGGCTTGCTCTGTCTTTTTTTAGAGCTATTGACTGCCCTGGAGGCTCTCCTACCTTAGGCTGGTAATAGAGTGTCCTCAGAAACCGGGGGTTATTTTCTCAATTACTCTGCAGTCAAGATTAACCCTATACATGCCCAGTGACTCCCTGCTCCTGTCTGCTTTAAAAATATTATTTTGGAACAACACAGGAAAAGTTTATTTTTCTCTCAATACCTTAGCTTGAACCTTTATCAAAATTTCCCATGATCATTTTTAAACAGCCAGGAAAAAGCTGACGTTTAAAAGCATGGGGTTTAGCACCTATTTGCTTCCCTTCTTTTGTCACTGAGTAAACTGTCTGGTTGTTAAAAGATACCTGTAGGGACACAGATATTACCTTGCCAGGGGTTTGTCTTAGAAGGTTAGTTTGAAATAACTATCGTATGTTGGCTGAAATCTGGCAAGTAAAGGAAAGACCTGAATTGGGGTTGAGGGCCTTGAAGAGGAGAAAATAGTCAAGAACTGCTGCAAGAAGATAGAATAGTTACAGTAATCTAAAACAGTAGATAATAGTAGCAAGCTAGAATTAGGGGGAAAAAAGGCATTTGGCTTCTTTTAAAGGAAAAAAAATCCCACTGTTGATGTCTATTAGTCTTCTTATGAAAGGAATGAAGGCTATTACTTGTGTCTTCTGAAGGTAAGCAGAACAAATCACTGGAAAATATGCTTTAGGGAACAATCTTGCTCTGGCAGATGATGATGAAATAATACTCCGTGTTTCGTTCTTACTGTCTGCAATTCAAGGTAAGCTGCCTTTACAGCATGTGGCAGGAGAAAAAAAGCCTAACCTTTCTCTGGCCAGGTCAGCTAATTGAATCTGGCCTCAACCTCTACTGCTTGTTTGTTCTGCTGGACACTACCATGGCCCCAGAATGGCTTTGGAAACCCTTCACAGGCAAGTACTAACTAGAAACCCACCAGGCTGACAGGCAGCTTATAGCATAGAGGTTGCCTTGGCAAGGGATCATCTCTAGAGGTGGACCACACAGGGCTTGCTCCCTACCTGTTACCTTTGCACCTTCCAGCCATTCCTCCAGGTGCTGGAGGTGCCATGAAACATCTTCTTGGCCTGTCTAAAACTTGGTTGCTTGTTTGGCATGAGGCTTTCTTAACACACTCAGCAGTTGGCCAGTCTAGACATGTTGATTGGACTTTAAGCTGATGCATTTTTTTCCCTGCTCTGAAAACACGTAGAGTTTATGTATTTGTGCATTTGATGTGAACATGTTTTGCAAACAGGACAAATGTTTTTAAATATTTATGGAAACGAAAATCTGATCCACAAATGTCCAGGGAAAAATAAATAGAAACTGGTAACTGTTGGTTTCCTTTTGCAGTCTTTGTTGATGTTTGTGCCTGTGGCATATTTCTCTTTAATCCAAGATTTCCTTTAGAAACAGAGGTCCTAGTCCTGCTTTGCATAGAGTGGAAGAATAAATCTGCATGTGGTCAGAGCTGTTTAGTATTTCAGTAGAGTCCCACGGGGTTGCAGCAGTCCATGAGCATGTGCTACAGAGTGGGATGGCAAAAGAGGATTAATACAGTCCTTGGAGGTTGGCCCTCCTGTGACATTTGTAATCAGGTAAAAGGAGGAAAGCTTGAAAAGAAAAGTGCAGCTGACTGAAAAGGCACAGAGACCTCTAAAAGCTTGCTGATGTGGCAAGAGCTTTGTCTCTTGGAAGCAGTCTACAGATATGAGATCTCAACACCGCTGCGTAAATCCCAGGCTCTGCGTTAATTCACATCAGACTTAATCCAGATCCATGTTTACGAAACCAGAAAAAAAAATGTGACCCTGCTATTTATCATGACCTTTACTGCTCTTTTTTTTAATTATGTCAAAAGCCTCAGACAGAATCATCCCTTCCTTCTTGTCACAGAGCTGGCTACTGTGCTAATAAGAAAAGATTGTGGGGTTTGTTTTTGTTTTGTTTTCAATAAGATAAATGCTTCTCCTTTGATTAGCATCTTACTGATTCTCTTAAGTGCCTCAAGGCAGGGCTTGAGGAGGGAATGCAAAGAGGTGGGAGGGAAGGCCATGCCACATATAAGTCATGCATGGACAAATGGGTGAAGAGGGGCTGGGAGAAGAGATGTGAGAAAACATGACGGCTGCTATAGATGGAGCAGGGGAATGACATGATGCAACACTACTGAATTAGTCCAGGAGAGCATGGCTTGTGAGACTTTGAAGATAAGAGCAAGGATTATGACTCAACATGGGGAAGGGAGTCATGGACAGGGGTCAAAGATGAAAGAGTTTCAGTCACGGGAAGGACAGAAGGCTGGCATGCCCCTGGGCACTCCACACCTGCCCTTCCCATTGGTACCTGCCAATGGGAGCCCTAGATACAGCCTAGTTTTGGGAGAACTGGGAAAAAAACCATGAGTATGTGCTGCTTTATTGCTTGCCCTTCCATAAAACAGCAGGCAACTGCACAAGTACAGTTGATGAATGAACAACAAAACTTCCAAATTATTGCAAGGAAAGGCTGGGCTCCTTGGCATTTCCATTTCTCAGAGCCTCTTTCAATTTTTATCAATGTAATTGTTTTTGAAAGATTGGCTTAGATCATTTGAGTAGTTTGCCAGAAAGATGTTTATGCAAGTTTGTTGTGTTTTTTTGTCTGCTTGATTGACTGCCTGATTACAGGAGAGAGGTTGCAGGAGGCTTCTCTTTTTACACAACTGTGCTTCCCTGAAAAATGCAGTTAAAAGTTTTAACTTAAGCTTAGCTACCTGAATACTTGAGCAGGACAGCAGGAAGATAGCGCTGGCAGAGATTTTTATGATGAGGGCATTGGCTTAAAGGAGGTTGTTTTTGTTGTGTTTCTGTTCATTTTAATCCGTAAGGAGCACAAATCCTCTTTGTCATTCATGGCAAGAGAAAAGATGCTAAAACCAACATCTCTCTTTAGTCTCCTGCGAGTCACCAACTTTAGAACAGGGAGTAAAAGACGTGGAGTATCCACTGTTTTCTCCAAGAAAGAAACTGTAATTGTTCTGCTCTTGAACGGCACTTGGCTGGCTCATCAATCACTTCTCTGAAGACATATATTATAAATAAACTTTAAAATATCGAAGTGACGCATTTGAGTTGAGCTTTGTTGCTTTTCTGATTCTCCAGACTGGATGGGCACTCTCCCTCACCATATACCAATTTCTCTCAGTCTCTCTTGCTGGTCACCCCACATTACAATCAAGGTCACACTACACCACAGCGCCGGAGTTGCCAAAAGCCGATTCAGCCCTTTACCCGGACAGAGAATTCTCAATTCGCAATCAACACCGAAACCCCATGGCAAGGCACGACCAAAATTAGACCGCCGGGACTCTCGGCTCCGCCACTGCCTCTTTCCGTGCATTTTGCCACCTACAGCAAAATACGTTTCCCAGCGCTCTGGTGAGCCGAAGAAAGTCAACTCCATCCTGCTCGGATGGCTCGGACCGAGTTCAGCGCGCTGGGCCCGGCGCGGGCCGCCCGTCCCGCACAC